CCCCCCCCCCAGGCCTGACCCTAAACTCTGCTTTACCTGGGTGGGGGAAGTCTGTACCTTCATGGGGACAAGGAGAGACCCCCACCACCCCTCAATTGTGACCCTGGCACAAACTCTAACTTCCTGGTAACTCTTGGTACGACCCTGACTTGTCAACCTTACTCTTTACCTAGACTTTGCCTGAACCCTGATCATGAGGGAGAGGCTGTGCTGAGCCCCTGAGCTCCAAACTCTTCATACCCCTGCTTGGGGGTCTGACTGGAGAGGAGGAGGAATGCTATCTTATTCCTCTTGACCTTGGCCTTACTTGTAAGGAAGGCCCGGATCCTCTGGATGGTGGCCACAATGGGAGCAGTGCCTGCCCCACGCCATGTGCCTCGAGCTCGGCTCAGTGTCTCCTCAGCCTGCGAGTGGGCAGCCCTTGCCGTGGTCCCAACCCGTTGCAGCTGGGGGAGTGGGGTGAATTAGTGGGGCTGGTTCTTAATTGTCTTGGCCCCACCCTCATCCCCCTGCAAAACCTCACCCATATGCCCATCTTCTCACTCTTCCAATTCCAGCCCCATCATCCCCCTCAGTGTGGCTCCTCCTTACCCGTCGATGTAGCCGTCCCAGTCTGGTACCTGTTGCACCCAAAGCACGGGATGTGTTGCGAGCAGTCCCCAGTGCCCACAAGGAAGTAGGCAGTGCCCCAGAACAAGAAGCTGGCCCACAGGGGGAGAGAGCACAGGCCCTCCCTATACCCCATGGCCCCCCACAGACCTGTAGACACAGACAATGGGACCAGAGTGGTGTCTCTGAAACACAGGAGATACCAGAGACTCCTGGTCACAGTCACAGAAGTGCAGAGCCCAGAATATCCAGACTCTAAGGGGCTGGGAAGACTATCTAGTTTAACTTAGTAATTTTATAGAGAAGGCAGCCGAGGCCAAGGGAGGTAGAAGGAGGAAAACTCACCCAAACTCACAGAGGTGGGAAGGTTCTTCCAAACCAGAAACCCTGTCTGGGATGTCTGAGCCCCACCAGAGATCTCCTTACACTGGAGATCTTTCCTAGGGCCACAGTCCCCCACCCCAAGCATCATTGCTGTCCCAAAGGCTCTGACCTTGAGCTGGGCCAGGCTGGGGCTCAGGGCCCACGAGGCATTCACAAGTCCCTGGAGCTGCTCCCCCCAGGCAGGTGCCCTGAAAGAAAGCTTCATCTTTTGAAGCAGCCCCTCTGTTCTGCCTCGGACATTGCGGGACTGGCTCAGGGCACTCTCTGTGTCCGTGAGGGCAGTTGTGACTCTAACACCAAACTCAGCCTCCTGGGAGATCAAAGCAGCCCTGGAGACCAGGGAAGCAGCATCTGGGGAAACAGGTCAGCATGTAAGGGCCAGCCTCCTTCCCTAGTCCCCCCAGAAGCATCACCAGCATCCCTTTAGGCCATACCCTGGGCTCCTCCTGGGGCCTCCTTGAGCTGGGTGGTCAAGTGTTTGAGATTTTCTACTTCTCGTGTCAGCTGGCCTATGCGGAAGTGCTGAGCGCCAGCCCAGGGACCACTCACACCCACATTCCGCTCCACCCCTCGAAGTGCTCGGCCCAGCACTGACACCTCCCTCCTATAAAGAAGATGGGGAAACATTCAGGGCTGAAGACTAGCCCTCAACTCCAGCAGACTAACCTCTGACATCAGAAACTGACCTCTGACTTTAGGAAATGACCTCTAAAGCCTGGTCCCTGATTCCCCAGCTCCTGCCAAACCCTAAGATCCTACCCACCCCTCTCCAAGCGCCTGGGGCTCCTTGGCCTTGCCTGAGTATATCCCGATGTTGCATGAGTTGCTGCAAGGGCCCCACCAGGGGATGGGTGGACACCAGGACTCCCTGGACCTGCCCCATGGCTGCCTCCAGGGCCAGCAGCCGCCTCCCACTGCCCCGATCAGGAGCCACCTCACTCAGGGCATCTCTCCCCTGAGCCAATGTGGCCAGCCACTGCTGGAGGGCATCCAGTTGTCCATCCCATTGAGAGAAGCAGGTTGGGCAGGGCCGGCAGTGGGGGAAACTGCCCTGGGAACCCCGGGCACAGGCCTTGCACTGAGGGCCTGAGATGCCATTGAGACACGAGCAGGCCCCTGTCCTAGAGTGGCAACGCAGAGAGACTGAGCCCTGAGGGTCACAGGCACAAGCTGGGGAAAAACAAAGGAGCTAGGATCAGCCCAGGGAACTGACTTCCCTGGTGCCTAAATCCATCCAAGCCCTCCCCCACACACTTTGCTTTTCTTAGGACTGCAGGATGGAAGGCACCTTAGACACCCAGCTAGGCCAACTCCCTCATCTTACAGATGAGGTAAAAAACTCAGAAGGGAAGTGAGTTGTCTAAGGTCATGCAACTAGTAAATAGAAGGAATAGGATTCAAACCCAGCTCCTTTAATGGCTAAACCGACTCTTTCCACCATATCAAGCTGTCTCTACGACGCCCCCCTCACCCTCAGCCCACCTTCTCCCGGTACTCTACTCTTCACCTTTGCACTCCTTCTCTGGGTCCCCCCAGTACCCTTCTTGGCACTGAGAGCAGGTACGTCCCCCAAATCCTTCCCGGCACGGGCACTGACCAGTGACCTGTGAGGACACGAGACCAGGACAGGAGTCCCTTCACTGGGAGCTCTTGGAAGGACAAAGACACAGTCCACGCACACAGAGGTTTTCAGTCAGTCTTTCTATTGCTTTCTGTAACTCCCTTCTCTTGGACACGGCTGATCCCTCCCCAGTCCACCCTCCTCCCCTACAAATTCACTCATCTCCATCCACCCATCTCCTCTAGGACCTCAGCCCATACATCATCCCCTCAGTCACTCTCATGCACCTTCAATCTTTCCCTTGCTACTGGCTCCTTCATCTCTGCCTCGATCCTTAACCAGCCTTTCCTTGATTCAAATCCTGGCTCTGATACAAACCATGTAAATCACTTCTCCTCCCTGGGTCTCACAGCCCTTCTCTGTGAAATCAGAATTAAATGATTGCTAAGGCCCTTTCTTGATGTAAACCCTATGAGCCTATGATGACAGCATCCCAGAATTTTAGAGATGAAAAGAACCTTAGCAGCCATCCACACCCCTCAAAGAATCCTCACTATAACATATCATATATATTATTTGATATTATTCTACTACACAATTTATATTTTATGTATCTATATAAAACACACAATCCATATATTCATTTATATAGCAATCACTATGTGCCAAGCACGACACTAAGCACTTTACAATTACTATCACATTTTATCCTTACAACAATCCTGAGAGATGGGTGCTATTATTATCCCCATTTTACAGATGAGGAAACTGAGGTAAACAGGGGTTAAGTGATTCACACAGCTAGGAAGTATCTGAGGCTGTCCTAGGATTTGGGTCCTCCCAACCCCAGGCCTGGCACTCTGTACGCTATGGCGCCACCTAGTGGCCCCAAAACATAGCATATTGACGACCTCCAATGACCCCATTCCCCCCTGAGGCAGCCCATTCTACTCTGGGATAATTTTAAATGTAAAGAATTTTTTCCTTTCCAAAAGACTCATGCTGAAAAATGCTGTCCACACCCAGAGAAAGAACTATGGTATCTGAATGTAGATTGAAGCATGCTATTTTTTCCCTTTTGTTCTGATTCTTCTTTCACAACATGACTAATGTGGAAATATTTATGTTTAACATGATTGTATGGATAGCCTATATCAGATTGCACGCCATCTTGGGGGGAAGGAGGGAAGGAGGGAAGGGGAAAAATTTGGAACTTAAAATCTTATAAAAGTGAATGTTGAAAACTATTAATTAATTAATTTTTTCCCTGACATCCAGTCTAAATTTATCTCTTTGGAACTTGCCCCCGTTGCTGCTAGAGCCGCTGCCCTCTGGGGCCAAACCAAACTAGTTAAATCCGTCCTCTCCCAGGCAAGTCCTTCAGAGGCTTGCAGAATGACGTCCCAGCCACTGTGAGCCTGATTCAGACCCGAGGACATGCTTGTGCTTGTGTTCTGCCCTAAAGAAGCCCACATGAATGAATGAGTCAGCCCATCCTCCCTTTGTGAGAGGCTCTGGGTTTGGAGTTGGGGACCTGGCTGTGTGCTCTGGCCCTTCCACACACTAGCTGGGTGATCCTGGACCTGTCAGGACACTGCTCTGGGTCTCGATATTCCTCAGTGGTGAAAGGGAGGGAGAGTATACTAGATTGTCTGCAAAGTCTAACTTTTTAGAAAGAGGGTGATAATACTTTTTTTTTTCTTGCACAGATCACTGTAGAGGGTTGTGTAAGTTCTTTGGGGATAGAAAGGATCTGAGACTATCAATTACAACCTCTTTATTTGACAGAAGAGAAAACTGAGGCCAGTATGGGGGAGTAGCTTGGTTATACACAAGTACTAACTGGCCCCAGAGCCAGGGTTGGGCCCCAGGTCCTCTGATGCTGGAGCCAGGGCTCACCTCACTGCATCACACTGCCTGGAAGTAACTTGTCTTTGGTCCTACTGCTGCTGGCGCCAGAGCCGAGACTCAACCCCAGCATTCCTATACCACTAGAGTACCTCCAAAGCTCTGACACATAAAGACTTCAAGTGATACTGTCTTTTTTACAGATGAAGAAACTAAGGCCTAAGGTCAAGTCAACAAGCTTTTTTAAGGGCCTACTGTGTGCCGCCGCACTAACCAAGCACTGGGTCACAGCATGTCTAAGTCCCTATTTGAAACCCAGTCTTCAGGCTTTCAGGAGTCCACGGGCTACACCGTACTGGCAGGTACCGACGTACCCTGCCCACAACTGCCCAACATGCACCCAGAACATCTTGCTGACTATAATTCTAGGATATTAGTCCAAACCGTGTCCCAGCATTTGAGGCACTCTGTGATCTGGTCCTGACTTATCAAACCTCTGCTCCCCTGCCTCTTCCTCCGTCCCCACCAGCTCAGAATTCTCACTGTCTGTCCCCAGGCATACCTGCTCATCCCCTCCCCCCCACACACACAGTTGCCCCTACACATGGCTACATGCAGACACATACATATATAGCTGTACACATAAGCACGGACCCACACATCACACATACACACATGCAGGCATTCAAACCCATCCACAGACACCCAATTATCATCGCTGAGGCAGCCACACATAGATATGCACTCAAGCATACGTGCACATATGTTAACAAGCCTGAAATACCCCCTTACCGGATGACAGGTTAGCTGCACTGAGTGCTGGGTGTGACAAGCACAGTGCTCACAGCCCCGAGGCCCTCCCAGGTTCCAGAACTGGGGGGCACAGCGGTCACACAACTGCCCTAGGACATGTGGGCGGCAGGGACAGTGCCCACTGAGCCTATCACAGAAGCAGATGCCACTTTCAGGCAGGCACCGGGCAGGCACTGTGCCTTGTAGGTCACAGCTACAACCTAGTGGGTCAATAGAGATGAGAAATGTCAGGGTTCAAAGGAGGAGTTCAGCCTTGGATGATGAGGTCAGAACTGGGGCAGGGACAGACAGTAAGCAAGAACGCAAGGCAGGGGTGGGAGTGGGGATCTACCATCTCTCTAAGAGTCTCCCTCCCATTCAACCCTACTCACGCCGGCAGCCTCGTGGCCAGAGGGCATTGCCGTAGTAGCCAGGCTGGCAGTGTGAACAGTGTGGCCCATAGGTGTGGTGTAGACAGCGCTGGCAGTGCCCACTGTGGGGGTCACAGGCCATGGGGTCGCTAGGGTCAATGTTGTTGTTGCACTGGCAGGGTCGGCATGGTAACCCCCCTACTACTCCCTCTGGCCAGGGGTGCCCAAAGTAGCCAGCAGAGCAGCGGTCACAGCGTGGACCTGCAAAGGGTGAGAGAAACCATTTCATTAATTCCTCTACAGGGCCCTAGGCCCAGGGCATAAGGCTGAGCTCTGACACCAGCTGTGTGGCTGTGGGCAAGTTATTTAACCATCCTGATGCTGAGACAAGTAAGATGGAATACCAGTCCCTCACAGCAATCCTGGCGGGGAGGGGAAACATTCCGTAAATCTTAAAAAGCCTCCGAGAGATAAGTGACCAAAGGATCTGAGCAAATAAATCTCAAAAGAAGAATTACAATCCATTAATTCTATTAGTTTAGGAATATGGAAGTTGGCTCCAAATAACTAATAAAAAGAAAAATGAAAATGAAAACTCTAAGGTTCCCACCTTACACCCAGCAAAAGGTAAATATGGAAGCAATCCACGCTGTAGGGGCTGTGGGAAGACTGGCATACTGATACACTGTTGGTGGAACTGCAAGATGGTCTAATCATGCTAGAAAACAAACTATAACTATGTGAAAAAAGTGACTGAACCATTCATATCCTCTAACCCAGCGATTCTACTACAAAGCATACATGCCAGTGAGTAGAGCAACAGAAACAAAGTCTCCCTAAGTACAAAAATATTAACAGCAGCAGCACTTTTGTGATAACTAAGAACTAGAAACAAAGTGGGCTTCCACTGAGAGAGGGACGGTCAGACGAACTGCTGTATGTGAATATAATGGAATGTTCTCTCACCGTGAAATTCAACTATGGGGAATTAAGAAACAAGGAAAGACTTATATGAAGCTGATGCTTGGAAACGTGAGCAGAACCAGGAAAGCAATCATGGCTAAAACAACATAAATGAAAAGAAAAATGAGACAAAACTTGAATACACTGTATAGTTAAACAGTCAGAAAAGAATGTCACCTCCTTTTGTAGAACAAAGGGGACCGAAAGTTTGCAGTGCTGCACGTGCTATCAGAGATGGTGATGTGATGGGTGATTTTGTTTAACTGCCTTTTTTTCCTTTGTCACTAGGGATAGCTCATTGTGGGAAGGGGAGAAAGAAGGAGGGTACATCTGGAAATGACTAGGATGTAAAAAATTCATCAATAAAACTTTCAAAAATCTTTTCTGGGGATAAAGAATTAGAAACTGAGGGGATGCACATCAATTGACGGGAATGGCTGAATAAGTTGTGGTATGTGATTATGATGGAATATTATTGTACTATAAGAAACGATCAGTAGGATGCTTTCAGAAAAACCTACAAAGACCTACATGGGTTGATACAAAGTGAAACATACTGGGTACAAAGTAACAGCAATATTGTAAGATGATCAGCTGTGAATGACTTAGCTAGTCTCAGCAATACGACGATCCAAGACAACTCTGAAGGACTTAGGATGAAAAATGCTACCCATCCCCTGAGAAAGAACTGAAGGTGATTGAACATAGATTGAAGCAACTTTTTTTTTGTTTATTTTTTCACTTTATCTTTCTTGAGTTTTTTTGGTCTACGTTTTCTTTCACAACATGACTATTATGGGTATATTTTGCATGACTACACACACACATACATACATATCTATGTAAAACTATATGGAATTGCTTGCTTTCTCAATGAGGGGGAAAGGGAGAGAATATGGAACTCAGTTTTAAAAACAAATTAAAAAATAAAATAAAATAGGCAGCTAGATGGCACAGTGGATAGGGCCCTGGAGTCAGGAGGACCTGAGTTCAAATTCGGTCTCAGACCAGACACTTGACACTTAACTAGCTGTGTAACCCTGGGCAAATTACTTAACCCCAATTGCCTCACCAAATAAAAATAAAACTTAAAAAACTCAATGAGTAAATATTTTAAAAAACCTTAAAGTGCTGTATAAATGTAAGCTACTACTGTTGTTCCATATAACTTATGTGATCAAGTCCCTTCCCTTTTTCTGGGCCTCAGTTTACTCATCTGTAAAATAAGGGGCTTGGTCTAGTTGACCCCTCAGATCTCTTCTTCCAGAGCTCTAAATTAGTAATCTTCAGTGATTTCTTATTTCCAAGCTTCAGTTTCCTCATTTATAAACTGGGAATAATTTTTATTTCTTGGTTTTAAAATTTATTTATTTTTAGTTTTCAACATTCACTTTACTTTCACAAGATTTTAAGTTCCAAATTTTCTCCCCATCTCATCCCTCCCACCACCCCAAGATGGCATGCATTTTGAATACCCCTTCCCCTGATCTGCCCTCCCTTCTATCATCTCCCCATTCTCTTACCCCCTTCCCCTTCTATTTTCCTATAGGACAGGAGAGATTTCTATACCCCATTTCCTGTATTTCTTATTTCTCAGTTGTATGTGAAAACAATTTTTTTAACATGTGTTTTTAAAATTTTGAGTTCCAAATTTTCTCCCTTCCTCCCTCCCTAGCCACCCTCATTGAGAAGGCAAGCAACTCGATACTGGTTATACATGTGCAGTCATGCAAAACACTTCTACAGTAGTTATGCTGGGAAAAATTAAGTATATTTCCCTTCATCCTATCCCGCCCTGCATTTATTCTATTCTCTCTTTTGACCCTGTCCCTCCTCAGAAGTGTTTGCTTCTGTTTACTCTCTCCCCCAATCTGCCCTCCCCTCTGTCATCCCCCTGCTCTCTTGTCCCCTTCCCCCCCTATTTTCCTATAGGGTAAGACAGATTTCCATACCCAGTTGAGTGTGTATGTTATTCCCTCCTTAATCCAGATCCTACGAGAATAAGATTCACTCATTCCCTCTCACCTTCCCCCGTTTCCCCTCCACTGTAAAAGCCTTTTCTTGTCTGTTTCATGTGAGATAATTCACCCCATTCTACCTCTCTTTCTCCTTCTCCCAGTATAATCCTTTCTCACCCCTTAATTTTATTCCCCAGATATCACCCCTTTATCTTTAACTCACCCTGTGCCCTGTATCTATCTATCTATCTATCTATCTATCTATCTATCTATCTATCTATCTAT